CCACTTATTCGAGATTTCTCAGCGGATGAGTTCAGATAAAGGCCTCACATTTCTACGTTTTTACGAGTCTAGAGATTTCCTGAGTCACCGTTTTAAGTGAATGAGCAACATTTAGAGCTGCAAGAGTTCAAAAGTTTCCACTAGCTTTTATATCAGGAGGAAAACCTGTATGTAAGCGATAAGTGATATTAATGAAAGACATCACATTTTCAACTAATGCGTCATTTTGGATTAGCAAATGTACAAAGCAAGCAACTTCCCAAAAAGTAGTGACTGTTCAGCCAAAATTTAGCTTACATCTGCAGGTTACATTTTACCATGACTAACAGAGTTGACTCAGGGTGACTCACATTAGCCACAAATCCATCTTACACTGGCCAGATGTCAGGTTTATCATGACATTTGATCCACACAACATTTGTGAGAGGCTCAACTGAGCTGTGAGTGCCCAAAACAGCCAACTTTAGCCCTAAATATGGTGGCAGTCTAATCAGATTTATGGATTAAACTGATATCAACAAATAATCTCTCCTCTTTGCACCTTCTGCACATATGTGGCTTAAATTTAAAGTTTGTACTTTAAAAAGGAAAAAAAGGATGTACTACACTTACTGAATACATACTGAAAAAAGCCATTTTAACTTTTTCCGTTATTATTCTGACAATCTGTAAACCAAACGGTTTGAGGAGTAAGTGGGTGTATTTAGGATTTCCATTCTTACCGACATCACCAAGACCAAGGAGTAGAAAAATCTTTCTGAAACTGAGAGTTCAGAGCCGTCTGAGCTTTGAGCTCACAGGCTATACTTGTCTACACGCTGATCCCATTATTTTAAATTCGGCCATGCTTAATCTGAGGTATCCATCATTGTAACAATTTATATGTAACAGAAAATGTAAGAAGAAATCATAACAAGTTCACTTTAGAGTTGTGCGATTAGTCGTAAATGATTTTGAAGTTTTGTTTGACAACTGGTGTTTTATTGGACAGTTAGCTGCAAGGGGCTATTCAGCTAGCTTTGCATAATCAACAATAGCAACATCTGCTTTATATTTATTTGTAAATTAATGGCTGACTTGTATTTTGTCCACCTACTGATATTGCCAGATATATGTCATTGTGTGCTACATGTGCTACATGCTAAAACCAAGAACCAGGCTGCTGAAGAACTCTCAGTTACACTGATCAATGTAACTAACTGCCTGCCAAATTCATGTTTGCATCTTAATTTCAGCTAAACTGTGTTTTTTTTTTTCACGGTCCTGAAATAGTGATTCAGATGTAATTAGTAATAGGGACAAGACTGTCAGTTACTATCATCATCAGTCAGTATCAGGTGATAAATATAAATATTTAGGTATAATAATAGATCCAGAATTTACATTAAAAAAAAAAAGTTGTGAATAGTCAAATTTGGTTTGGCAAATTTTAGGCTTGTTGGGAACAATTTAACGACTGAGGCCTCAAAACTTTTCTCTCTTATGACCTTTTGTCTCATTAGTTGGACACAGACAAATGAAACCACATCACAATGAATCGAAAGAATCTGTAAGCAAGCCATGAAAACCTAAAAACAACCTGCCAGGGACTGCAGATCAACATTAGCTAGTAGCTAAATCTGACAGATTTACATCATCAATTTAAGGGCTTTATTTTTTGGTTGATTTATTGAGCCATTCACTTTCAACAAAAGTAACAAAATATGACTGTATATGCATCTGCAAACCCTCCAAGAATAGTTCACTTTGTACTCAAAGACCAGCATAACATTTCATTATACCTACAGGTTGACAGGCAGCAATGTTCCCTTCTGCATCTAAAGGTCAAGTCATCATCAAGTGGGCTCCAGACTCTGGATGCCATTGTCAACCTTGTTTTTGCACCATGCTCATCATCGTTATTTGCCAGTTTAGCATTAGTTGGAATGCAACTCGAACTCCACTTGAGACGAGGCTCAGTGAGTTCGGAGCAATAAACACGATTCAAACCCAAAGGTAAACAATTAAAAATGAAACTCACATTCTAAAAAAAGGGGGAAAAAAACAATAATAAAGTTTTAAATGTATCTTTCATTTTTTCAAACTTTGGTTTGATTTGAATAAAAAACTTTCAATGGTCACTGACAAGATCCATGTCACATATGATGCAATCAACAAAATCCAAACCTGAACATTCATGTCAGAGTTAAATTGTTATTGTTAAATAAACTTTAATTTTCAGATATATAAGATATGCAAAATATAGTCAAATTTCAAGTGTTGGTATTTAACTTTCATGCTTACTTTCAATTCTCTTTATTTCAATGTGTTTATTTTAGTTTTATAAGCTGAAAGACCCCAGAAACAGCTACCTAGGATGTAGCTAATATAGGGTCAATAAAAGAATAAAAATGTTCAAATACAACAAACTCAGCAAGTCATAAATCTTGCTGGAATAGTTACAAATGTGTTACTTGCTAAAGAAAATGTTACTTAATTTGATTTTCTGTCTACGCTTTCCCTTCACCCCAAAACCAGTTTCGACCAGTGGTTGCCTCTCCGTGATCCTGACTCTGCTGGAGGTTTGTTCCTGTCAAAAGGGAGTTCTTCCTCCCAACGTTTGCCAAGTGTTGCTCATAGGGGATTGTCAGATTTCTCAAGTTCTTTCTTATATATACATGATAACAGTCAGTCTGCTGCAAAACAGGGACTGAGATGAAAGATAAATAAATAGAAATACTGCTGTAAGGCTGAAACTTTCATGATTAGATTTTTTGAATTTGGGTGAAAGCAGGAAAAGAAAACAAGCCCTAACATCCCAGACTGAAACTGTCTGCAGACATTCAGCCTCTGATGTCAGCAGGAAAGAGAAATGAGTCCTAAAACAAATTATCCTGTAATGATTCACAACAATATGACAGCACGAGTGAGGAGAAACAGTTCAGAGCTTGTTTGTTTCAAAATTATATGCCCATCAGAAGCAGAACAAGATTTTCTTTAATCTTATTTCCACGTTTAGCACACCGCGTACACATATTACTTAAAAGTAAAACCAAAAAGTGCTCAAGCCAGGCAGCTCATAACAGTCAACACTAAATAGACCAGAATACCACAAATATATATTTGTGGTACATAATATTTAGAGTTTAGTCAATAAGTAAAATATAAATACTAAAAACGTGTTAACTAAAATTTGTGATCACATGATAAAGAAAAGCTAAAAATAAGACTGTTGGTGGAAACTGAGAAGCCAGCAGGATCTCTTCATTATCAGGCCACATGACAGCTCACCCACTCATCAAGCTCGGCCATTCATTCAACATCCAAGTTATTTAGAGGCCTGCCTCTGCAACCCACTAGATATGCAACTGGCTTGGTTTGTCATTGGTATCCACAGATGCACTATGTACATGTCTTTTTATCTGTGATTACCATAATAGAAGTTTTTATTGAAATATACAAATATAGAATGTTTGTTGTGTGCAAGTGATCTGCAGATGGTGGTTTTGATTAGATTGTAGATGATTGAAAAGGCAGGAACCAATAGCCTATAGAGCTCAGCTGCTGAGGTGAATGTGTGATTTACCTGCATGCGTGTATCAGCCAATGGGGCTCCCAAGGTTGGCACATGAATTACTCGGAAAATTAGTTCAGAGTTTAAAAATGGGTGGCATGGTGTTGCAGCGGTTAGATGGCTCTGGGTTTGAACCTGCTTCTTTGTGAAGTTTGCATGTTTGCATACCAGTTTCCTCCCACAGTGGTATGTTAGACATGCATGTCATTGGTGGTTCAATCATTCGCCATATGTGTGTGTTATTTGCATCTCTGGCTTAGTATCTGAATCTGAATTGGATACAAAGTTTAGAAAATGGTCAGAAGCTTGAAAGAATGTCTTACTATTTATATTAAAACACTAAAACATTGTTATTAAAAATGTGGAGACTGTTCCTATAAATCTTCCACTTCAGTAAAGTGGCCAAAACTCCCACTTTTCACTTGCTTTATGTTGTGCGATATGAACACATGTGAATTTAAGCCATGTTTTTCCAGTTTAACCTGTTTGTTTTCTATAAACATTTCTGCTTGACTTGAAATAAGAAACAATCAACAACAAAAAGACATCTGTTCCAAAATATTAATATTCTGATGCTGCATGGGTGTTTTCTAACACAGCTTGCTGCTCAACAGATCGTGCTTTGTCTGCCGACCGCCGCAGCCACTCTGGGTGAAACAACACATGCAGGACTCCTTGTAATGTTGTTAAGTGGTACAATGAGAAAAGAAATTTACACTCTACACTGCTAAACAGCCATGGATCGTTCTGTGAAACACTGACGGCTAACAAAAATATTCACTCCAAGGTCTTCAGGAGCAAATGCAGTTTGCTCAATCATCAATAAGCTGCAGATGCTTTCAAGGCAGCTACCTTTTATTTATTTTTTTGCAGATTTAAACTTGGTGCATTTGTACTTTTATTGGCATTAAAGCATAAAGCTGCAGTTTTCAAGTCCATGGCACAGATCTTGTTCTCCTGTTAGTCATAAACTGAAATAACTGGAGCTCTTGAATGGCTTTGGCTTAAAGACACCGAAACGGAGCAAATGCAATGTGCAAAGTCACCTCAAGTTTATTTTATCACTGTGCAGACAGATAATTGGCCTGTGTTCACAGGTTTTTGTCTCTTTCACACCATAGTCTTTCCTTTTCTTAATCTGGTGACTGTACATCCAATTCAAACACAATGCATGAAGAAGATATATGGGGCCGATGCAACAATGGCCCCACAGTGCTTCGGGCTGCTTTGCATCAGGGTGTGAGTTCAGACTCAGAGATAACCCTTGTTGTCCCTGCGGCCGGGGTGAGGCAGATGGGGAGAGGAACAATGGCCGGGCCCATGCGGAGGGCGGCAGTGACTGACACAGCCACTGAAGCTCCAAAGAATGCCTGGAGCTGAGCCAGAACCATGGACATCACCAATGCAAACCCCCCCACCCTCACCAACCTGACTCTCAGTATGTCCCATGGTGCCCTTGGGCCAAGGGGATGACACCTTCAAAGACAGCCCCTGAGCGTCAGATGGGCTGCAAACCACCCTGAAGGAGCAGCAGAGACGGGTTTTGGCACTGTGAGCTTTGGAATAGCTTGGAAGAGGACTACTGAGTAAACAGAGAGGTCAACGCCACCAACAGCAGCAGCAGCTAGCATGGCTACAGCGAGCACCTCAGGGCAGAGCGCTTTCGGGCTCGGGAGGAAAAAGAAGAACCCCGGTCTGATGGATCAGATTAGCAAATTCTTTGGAGGAAACAAAAAGAAGAGGAGCAAGGTGAGCATCCATCCATTTAAAAGGACGGTTTCATCCTCAGCTTAACCCAGTTTTAAACTTTTACTTAGTTAATTAGATACTTTGTGCCAAGCTGTGGTCTGTGGTCTGTAAGCCAATTCATGCATATATTAATTTTTACATATAAATAATAATGTGGTTACAATAATAATGCAATTAATATGATTAATAACTTGTGTTTTTATCTTAAAAGGTGAAATATTAAAAAGAAATGTCCTCATAAACTAAAGTGAGACTTTGTGGATGATTAGAGGTTAGGGGAGGTGATAATTCACTTCTGCAGTTCATATTATGACAGTTTGCTTTTAAATATTTAAGCAATTTTGAATTTTCTTGAGCAGAATTGAGATTTCTTTGATTTTACTGCTTGTACTTCACATTCACCTGCAGACCTTATCTGTTAATTAAAATCCACTTATTTAAGCGTCAGTGTCCTAAAGCACTGAGGTTGTTTTGTATGTCAGACACCATCTCTGTGATGTTTCACTGAGTACTGCACTATGTAAAAGCTCACACTCAAAATTACTGTATGTACTGTGGGCTGTGGATTTTTTTTTGACTCCCATCTTCAGCTTTTTAAAAAAAAAAAAAAAAAAAAATATATATATATTATATATATTTTTTTTTTTTGGAGGGTATGAGTAACTCAAAAATCCATCCAGTTGCTTTGGTAGCTTTGCCCCAATGCACTGTTTTATTTTGTTTTTCTTGTTATCTTGCAAAATGCTGCAAAGAATCTAATATAAAGGCTCTAATACAGTCCCATTGAGATCTTGTGAAGGAAAAAACAGGCCTCAATGTGGATGCATGTAAATTTAGTCTGTAATATCTGTCTGACCATGAGCTGCAGCAGATAGAAAACATCAGACAAAACCCCTTTCAGATTTCAAGATTCAACAGTATGTGATGGGAGGGGCCCTTCTGCTGCTTTCAAACTGCTTTCATCTGCTATCTGAGGCTGTTATTCTGAGTAGGCAGAGCGCAAGGACGCCAGATCTCAGAGATTTCTTGAATTTTATTGTTTGTGTGTTTCACTCTTGTATTTCAGCCTTTCTGTGACTCATTTGCAAGACAGACAGAAAACAACAGAAAGCAAAGAGATGCGTGCCTGCACATATCTCGCTTCTTTATTCGGACTTCTTTGCATTCATTAACTATAAGACCAAGTAAAAAAAAAAAATACAATAACTGTCATAGAGGCAGAAACCTTCTTCTGATTGGCTTCCCACATAAACAGAGGCTTACAGCAATATGTAGGGGTTGCTTCTGATCTCACAGCTCGCCTTAGATGACCATCAGGGATACATCTCCTCTCATTGTCTTCATTGCTTTTGCCTTTAAAACTTTAAAGTCTGAACCATTAAATAATTCCCAGAACACTCAATTTTTTTCTAAAAGGAGTGTTTATTGAACCCTTAAACCTTGAACATTTACAAAATCATTAAAAATTGATTTGCATATATGAGGTTCAATCTGTATCATCAGTCTTAAAAACATCATCTTGATAATGTCCTCTCTGTCACTCAGATCTGACAACAATTAGGAAATATCAAAGCTATAATTCTGCAGCTGCATGGTGCTGACTTTCATCAGAGAAAGTGAGCTCATCCCAATCTGTTCTATCATGAAGACACTGCAGAAAAATGAATGTTTCATACAGTCAGGTGAACATGTGTTAAACAAATATATGCAGTTACTTGACCTCTGCTTATCTTCTCAGGGGTCTTTCCGGGGTCATCTGGCCGCCTCACCCCAGCAGTCCTCTTCCCGCCGTCGGACTAATGAAAATGCTGTTGTGCATTTCTTCAGGAGCTTTGTAAGTTCCACTTGCACGCACACGTTATTCATGCCATTCCATACATGTTTTACTTACCTTTATAAAAGCTATTTTTTGTTGCTGGGTCACGCTAACCCCGCCGAGCGTCATTCAGTTAAATTTGTTTGATGTAATCCCCTGAAATTGCCAAAAACTGCATAACTCATAATGCAGAAAAAACAAATTTCCTCCAGTATTTTCTTTGGCTCTAACTCTTGGCATCAACAGTGTGGCAATGTTTTTTGTTTTTTTTTAAACAGCTGGTTAAATTGTTTTTCCTCGCCTATCTCAGTGATTAGAGTGCTGCATGACTCCTTCATTTGCATATTGATAAAAAAGATTTTGGGGAAATTTCAATCAGCAGCTCAGCACTTTTTGTTTATTTCATATCTGAGTTTGTTGCTCTGTTTTTGTTTTGGTTTTTTTTGCTCTGAACAATCAGTCACTCTCTTGTTGTTGTTGTTGTTGTTGTTGTTGCTTGGTGTTCCTCAGGTTTCCTCTCCTCGTCCTAAATCCAGGGTGAGTCCCACTTTACCCATATCTGTTTTTAATTATTCCAAAGGTTTAACCACAGGATGAAGATAAAGTGTTTTTGCAGCAATCAAAGGTTAAAATAATCACTCTTTATCATTTCAGGTTTAAATTCAATTTTGTTGATGAAGTGCCAAAACAAAGTCAAAACAATCACCTCACCTTTTTATAGTTAAATAGAGATCCAATCATTTTAAAGAGGAAAGCCTAACAGTCAGATGAACCCCTGTGAGCAAGCGCTTGGCATCAGTGGGAAGAAAGAACTGCCATTTAACAGGAAGAGGACTCCAGCAGAGCCAGGCTCAGGGAGGAGCAGCCATATGCTGCAGTCTTTAGGGGGGTGAAGTGAAGGAGAAGAAAGAGAAGGATCAATATAGAGACAAAGACATTATATAGTAAGATAAACTGAATGTTACAAAAGCCCCTCAGTTCATTCCTCTGTCTTAAGCTGTTTAAGCTCATTTCCCTCTAAGGCCACACCTTTTTTTTTAAATCAAAACCTCTTCTGGTTGGCTGTCACTTGGATAGCATAAAACATGAATGTAGCTTCCTAACCTCAAAAGGGGAAGTACCTAAAACTTGCATTCTATCCGAAGACCACAAGATGGCGACAGTTGTAGAAGCAAAAACGATTTAGGTCCTATACAAGTTTATATGAAAACTCCCTTTTTGACCTCTGCAAACACTTTCCTCCTGAGTCTGTGGACTCAGTCACTTATTTTGGGTAATATTTAATCCAAAATTGAGTTTATTTCAGAAATCTTGTTAATACTATCTTAAAAAGTGGAGGTACAAAACCGCAAGCTAAAATTAGCCAATTTAGCAGATTTTACTGTTGGATATTACATCAAGAATTTTGCACTTTGCAGGCATCGATTATGCTTACTGTCAGTCTGCTAGGGTCTGCTCAGGCCTGAGAGATACACATTTTAGTGTTAGATAATGAAGGTCTATGAGGACATCTGCAGTCCTGACTTTATTTTTATTTTTTTATGTAATTCATTTTTTGTGTCTTGAATGCACCAACTGCACATGCACCCAGACTTCAAAGAAGTAAAACTGAAATCAATACTCAACTGTTGCCGATATAAATGCACTCTGCTATAAAAGCAGCAGAATCAAAGTTCTTTATTTAGAGAAGCCTAAAAATGAGATTTGGATATTTGACCTAAAATCTGTCTCAGTGGTTACTTTACTGATACTGTCATGACTGCAAATTTCCCACCACAATTTCTGCTAATTGCATCTCACATCTTATTGTGGAAATTCACTTTACTCATTTTCAGCATTTTGCTGAAGGTGCCTTCGTGTAATGGTTACAAAATCACTGGAGAGCCATGAAGTGTCCTGTGGATCTAAATGTGCACTGTGGGTCTTTCACCCATAAACAAATGGATGAAACAGAGTTCACCTGTGTTCACAGAGATTATCTAAATGTCCTACAAAGGAAAAAGCTGATATAATCACAGACAGCACTATAAGCCATAAATAAGAAAATATCAGATAATAAGATCATAATAGATAGAGACCTCTGCATCACCAGCGAGATTTTCTTTAACCGTAACCCACTTATTGTTTTTCTTTTTCAAACTGCCAGCAATAAACTGCACAAAAATGATATTTAATGTATTTTTTAATATTTGTCAGAAGAGTTCATAAACACGGTTTGGGCTTTGAAGGGTTAATGAAAGCTAAAATGTAATGTGTACCTAATTTCACACATCACCATGGTTGCTATCCTGGTGTTATCATGGTAACATAAACTAAAGCTGAGGCTGATTTTAGTGAGACAAATAGATAATTGGTTATAACTGAGCAAACCAAGACTGTGACCTGATGATGGTGCCATTATGTAATATTAAGGTTATAGTTCATACGTTTATTGAATGAATATCTGGAAAAAAAATATCATAGCAAGTCATCTTATTTATGCTGATGTTTACTGGATTATTAGTAATCCTCTGTGTGGGGATCTATCTGTATTCTTATATTTGTCTTATTATTGCAAAGCAATTTCTTTATAAGGGTCACATATTCCTCTAAAATGCAGATTCCCACTCTGGTACTGGATAAATACATGATCAAGGATCATGAGATAACTGGACAGGAAACCAAACCTTTTCTCTTTTTTTTTTATATGTGCATCCATTTTCAGTTTCTTCATGTTTTTTTAGGAACCTTTACCGAAACATTTTTAAAAGCTAGATCATAGCAGTGGAGATCATGGAGGGACTGGATAAAATCAGAGTTTTCACATCGACTTGTCTGCTACCACAAAGCTAATCTGAGACCAGTGCAGGTGGCATCATAATCGTACTGTTGCTCATCTCACCATGTCGTTATCTGTTTCTTTTTCATGTCCAGTGGAGAGACGTCTTGGGTTTGGTACGTCACTCGATCCATCTCAAATTATACAAAAGCCCCACTGCTGACTGCGCCGCTCTGTGCGTCTGCAATCATCCCATTTAAATCTGTCTGTCAACCTCTTCTTTGCAACATGTCCTTTGTCTGCAGTGTCACCTGTTTCCTAACCTACTTTGTGTTTCACTGCTTTCCTCCCTGAAGAGAAATACATTTTATACCGGAGCGCGATGAATCAAGTCGCATTCACGTCCTGATTCACCAGCATTCACACGCAAGGCCTGAAAGGCACAGTTACAGCAGATCAGCCTGGATGAATGCCACAGAAAATCAATTTCATTCATTGACTTGCTGCTTGGAAATTATTGATACAGTTATTGATTTATTGATAAGTTCATTACACTTCAATTTCCCTCCCTTCTTTGCTTCAATCCAGAGCGACTCACTGCTTCTGGATGACTTTGAAATCGCTCAACTATTTATGAACCACAGCCGGTAAACGCTTTTTTCTTAGGACCTCTCCCCCCCTCTCCTCTTTCACACCTCTAGTTCTCTGTAACACCTTCATCAACTTCTCCAGAGATGACTCACCGATCCATCTGTTCTGGTCTGCCACCTCCTTTGTGTCTTCTTATCTGTCCAGCCACTGTGGACAACTCTTTGTGTGTCATTTGATCAGCCACTTACACCCTTTGTGTCAGTGTCTCTTCTCATGGACCCCATCTTCTCCTTGTCATCCATCTTCTTTCCCCTAAAGGTTACTGTTAGGTGAAATCTGGTCCAGTCACACATTCATATTTCCCTCCTTTCATGTCTACTCACAATAACAGATCAAAGACAACTTTCTTCTTTGCTGTTGCAGAGAAACCACATACCTGCACTTTGTTATTTTGCACACTAATTCACTTTAAATATCAAAGAAGGAAATTCAACTCGTAGCCAAACACAATGAAAGCACAAACCCAAATACCAAGGAGTCCATCCTAATGCATTTAAAGAGGATGGAGATCATTAAAAAGAAGGTTTGCAGTCATATTACTGGTGGTTATGTGTTTTTTGTGCAGCAACAGCAAAAACGGCGCCCTTTGTAACAAAATGTTAAATAGTTTTTTTTGTGTTTGGCATTTTGTTGAAGTAGTTTGATATCTCTGATTGTCTGGGGGAAAATATCTTTAATCTCATGGAGAGGAAAAGGCTGTCCATGTAAAATGAATTGCTTAAAGGTTATGCAGTGAGGCAATGCTGGATTCTGGAGCTGGTTCCAGTTCTCCACCTGTGCTTATAAGGCATCTTTTTCTAGGCCACGTCACCGCGTGCCGAGAGCACAAAGTCACCAGTCAGAAGGCGCAGAGACCAAAGCACGCTGTCCAGACTCTTCAACCTGGTGAGCTCGCAGAACGTTTGCCTCTTTGCGTTACCCAGAATTCCCCCTTTCTGCCTGTAAACCTGGATTTCACGATCACTGCTTCCTGTTTGTGTTTGCTCAAATGCAACAGTGATGTTCTCGTCAGAGATCAGTGAGTAGGATGTAAATACGATCATTTCATCATCATGCTTTTACTGCAGCCTGTCATCATAATAAACTAACAAGCTTTAGAGCCACATTTTCACTTTTACATGTAAGCCCAAATTCATCCAATGCCATCTACCTCGATGTTTTTGAGGCTTTATTTTCAGTGTGGATCAGCGCCACTAAATGCAACGTTTTTTTGGACAATCACCTCGTTCATGAACTTTCAACACTGTTTTAACCAAATATCTTCCCAGATTGCTGTTATCTGTGGCTGCGGCAGGAAAACTAATGTTTTTCTCAACCTCCTCATGTCCACTTCTTCTTCTCTCCAGGGAGAAGGCAAGTCCCGTGCACCCTCTAAACGCTGGAGCACCATCTTCTAAGCTCTCCACTGAGGACCAAACCGCAGATCCGACACCGACGAGACCAAAAGAAGAGACAGATACGCCTGCGGCAGACTCACGACCTCAAGAGATGTTAACAAACTAACACGATCCTCCTTTATCTTTAGACAGAGACACAACATTAGTGTAAAAATCCTCTTTTTATTTTTAATCCTACTTCTGAGGAATTATTTAGCTGTTTGTAAGAGGTTCAGTCATGCTTTTAGTAAAGTCTCCTACCATAAAAATCATTGTCTGATGGTGCTAGTGTCTGCTGTCTGAGGTTTGTTCATGGCAGGTGTTTGTTTCTTCTATGTCTGCTGTCGTCTGCATTTTGTACACGATTGATGCTTTATGGATCTCGCTGCTTCCTAGAAACACAGAGCTCACACGACACACAAGCCAAACAAACTTTCACATGTGAAATCGTGACAGAGGGTGGTCCCGTTTCTGCTTGAGCATGTCACAAAGCCACACGTTTGTAAAATGCAACTGGAAACCTATAGAAGTAGTGGACTCTAATATTGTTTTTAACACCACTGCTTAAGTTTTCTTTGCCTCAGTGTAATTAATCACCATGTATGATATTGATGCTTCCCAACTCTATCAAAACAAGATAAAAATGCCCTTTCGAATGCACTGTTTCACACCTGAGAAATGTGCTAAAACTATTCTGTTGTCTTTTCTGTAGCTTTTGCCTCATTTAGTGATTTTCTTTATCTGTTCTGTCGTCATTTAAGTTTTATGGTGATTTGTGTTTTTCCAGAGGATGGCTGACATGTTTTATAGCTGATGGTTAATTTGCAAGTGGTTCAAAGGTTTAAGGATGAAGCAGCAAGGTGGCACGAGGAGCACAGTACTGTAGGACAGGATGTTGGATTCATGTGTTCTGACAAATATTTTGTGATTTATTTTTTTTTGTTTGTAATAAATTACACTGCCACTCTTATTTCTACTTGATGTTTGTATGTTCACTTTAACTGAATGGTCAAAAGCACTGTAAAGATGAGATGGCTAATGTGTGGTGGTGCTACGGGAATAGGAACTGATACTTAAATAAGTGTTGTGTTTCCTCTTAATGTAAATTTCCTGTTTGTAATGTACAGCCTAACTTGCAATAAACACCTTTACTTTTTTCACATTTAAGAGTTATTAAATGTTTTAAAATCAGATCATTCCCTTGTCTTTGCTGCATTTTAATTGTTATGATTTACCAAACATATGATTCAAATGAGCTCTGAGCAAAAAATGTGACATTGAATGTGCACGCTAGCGTTCCTGCTGAACGTTGACCAGATAATAACGCTTTCACGTCTGTGGTAAGGGGACAGTCTGCTAGGCTTAAAATGCCTGAAAACAAGTGGACACAACTAGTCGAATGCATAGACTGTATGTAAAAGATGGACTTTAGTCATAAAGATCAAGCCAGAAGTCCTTAAAACTGTTTTTTCTTTTCCTTTTAATAAGGTTTGATTGCATAGAAAGTGATGAGAAAATGGTTTTTAGATTATTTTGAACTCAGTTAAAAACTTTCCCGATGAGCTTCTTCTCAGTCAGTAGTTTCAAATATATGTGAAATATAGTCTCTGCTAGAGTTTAGGAGGAGGATAAAACACAAGATGCTTTAGAGCAGGGGTGTTCAACTCCAGGCCTCGAGGGCCGGTGTCCTGCAAGTTTTAGATGTATCCTTAATGCAACACAGCTGATTTCAATGGCTAAATTACCTCCTGAAGTTGTCTTGAAGCTCTCCAGAGGCCTATAATGAACTAATCATTTGATTCAGGTGTGATGACCCAGGGTGAGATCTAAAACCTGCAGGACACCGGCCCTTGAGGCCTGGAGTTCCCCACCCCTGCTTTAAGGCATGTTTACCTTATGCATGATAAGTCGCTGGTGTATGAGAGTATCTGCTGTTTATTGGTATCTCAGTCAGACCGAGCTCTCACTCCTCATGAAGTTAGGAACAGCAACAAATTCTCAGAACAGGGCCTCACATTAGGACTATAATTATTGTTTTATTATTTGCTTCGAGCCCTGGGTACAGGAGCTGCATGCAAAAGGATCTTTTGTTAAAAGGCTTGGCGTAATAAGCAAATGCTTCAGCCAATACCTTTTGATTAGCCTTGTCTCATGCTTTCTTGCTTTGTGGTAGATCTTTGTTCTGTCTTCACTGAGATATTTGAATGCTAATCAATCAAATCAAATCAAATCATATGATGATGTCACGGTGGTTACGTTCTTGAAGAAGAACATAACCACCTATATACAGTCTATATTCTTAAGGTTGAACAGACAATAAAAATAGCTGCACTTCTAAAGCTTTATGCCTTTTCCCGTTTAAGTAATGCAAAAAACAGAGTATAAAATATTGTATAGTGTCATGTTTCGCTGTGTGGCAGGCAGGATGAGGACCCAAATCCAGCACTTGGCAAACGGAAAAGTAAAATTAAAACAGCAGCTCTATTTCCCGGAAAAACTCTACACTGAATACAAGAAAACGAAACCAGAAACATAAAACCTAGGGAAGTACACTACAACAGAGAACTTGGAGAATACTAGGGGCACAGAAGACTCACACACAGCACTTAGCACTGACAGTATGACGTGACAACAAACAGGGGAAGACTGAGGGCTAAAATACACAGGCAGGATAACGAGAGGATGGGGAACAGGTGGCAACACAGCTGGAACTAATCAGACATAAAGAGACAAGGGGACGCAAAACTAGATACACTGACATGGGACAAGGACTATCAAAATAAAACACAAACCATGAGACATAAGCAATTTGACACAGAGACGTGGAAAATGACAGGCTCAGAACAGAAATGACTGTTTTAGTACCAAGTTATCGTGCCTCACATCACACATATTAAATTAATCATTAGTTTAATGTAAACAAACAACACAATAGTTCACACAGACACACTACACAAAGATAATGTGTCCCTAATAATAATGTAGAAAATGAGCTGTTCATTGGTTCCATTCCAATTTATTATGCTTACTTCCTATTTTGTCCTTGAGCACATGAATGTATGAAATATAGTGTGCTCTGTATGTGTATGTGTTGTATGTGTGTTGATGCTGAGGTACATTTGCAAGTATGCATAGAGGCATTCTGCAATTGTGAAATACCTTATGTTAAACTATTCATTTGTACAAAGGGCGGGCTTATAAGATTTCTTCTTGCACCGCTTCCCGTTATTATGAAGTTATATATTCTAACGTCTTAAATAAACTCAAATAAATAAAGAAATATAAATTTCTAGTACTATGAAAGAAAGAGAAAATTACATTTCTGCTCATTTAAGCTCATTTAAGGTAAGTAATAGCCTTCTACTGGGAGATTTGTAACCATACTTCATAAATTTTCAATATTTTACCCATTAAGAGTCTTTGTTGAATTGCCAAATTGTTTTAAAAAATTACAAAATTTGACCCTGTTACCTTCTTGCAGCTTAGAAGGCTTATAGTTTGACCTAGCAGCTCAAAAACTGAGAGGAAAAAAATGTAAACTGATAAGCCCCTGTTGTAACTCAGCGATGATCCATGCCATAAAAAGCTCCCAAACACTGCTGAAATATTCTCTCGAGGCCAGTCGTCTACGTCAGACGATAATCCCAATATCAAAGTCTTTTGCAGAGTGAAAAAAACAAGATCTCAACTACATCAAGCAGGACACTCTGTCCTACATTTAATTAAACACTAAACAAGGATGAGTCATCCTCGTTAGACTCCCTTGTCAATACTGAGAAGTGGGAAAAACAGTGTTTCTCATCATTAGAAATAACGGTGAGATAGAACTTTTCATGGACTACTGCCTCTAAAAGCAGAATAATCACTGAGCTGCTTATTCTCTGAATAATTCAATAATTGGCTCAGAGGTCTATAATCCATGTTACGTCACGCACATTTGAGCACTCATATAAAGAGCAAACTGTACACTCAGCCAGTTCATCTTCACAGTTAATCCAGCCATACAAGTGTCTAATGTGACAAAACATTACTATAAAATGATTTTTAACTGTACTGCAGTAACATTTCTCTCTAAGCTATAGGGCTCTGCAAGCCAAAAATGTATTTTCTGTGTTATGTCATTTCCTTCTTTGATGGTCAGGACCTCATGTTTGCTATTTCTATAGACTATCCCTTCTGAAAACATCCAAATATATTAATCAGCAGTCCCATTCACTGGCATCTCTAGATCATGTTATCACAGATAGTGTAGTTTTTGACTAGAATGGCTTGATGCAGTGTTGAGCTACAGAGACCTCTTGTGCCCCATCATTGTGCTGCAAGGCAGCATTCTAAATGTGTTCTAATGGGGCAAATACTATATCCAAAAGCAGCACCTGTTTACTGAATTTTGAATGTGAGAATTTCTCCACTATAAAAAAAGCAATCTGTTCTTATGCACACAACTCAGCAGGTGACTAAGAGCCGACAAACAGTTATTGAGACTGTTATGAGAATGACCATAAATGACCCAGGTTTTAAGATGAGCCTAAAGCTCGATTTAGACTTCTGCAGGAAAGCTGCATCCTAACTTACGTCGTAATCAGAAACTCCTTTTAGCCGTCCACCACATTTCCATGCCATTGAAGTCGAGGCAGCCTGCATCAACCCGATGTGTAGTTATATTTTTCAGGAGGTGCACATCAGGTGGTGCACATCAGGCTACATGGAAGGTTACATTGAAGGGTTAACATTGTAGATTTCCCAATGAAGCATAATTCATGCATTAGTCTTCTACAATTAGCTACAATGAAAAACTAGTGTTCAATAAACTTGTAGCATTGTTAAAAAAAAACACATTCTAGTATGTTTCAGATCAGCCTAGAATGTTTCTAAAATGTTCTAGAATGTTTCTAAAATGTTCTAGAATGACCATCAATGTTTAGAATGTTGCACACTGTTGTTCTAGAATGATCACCAATATACACAGCACTTCAGCATTGTTTAAAACATACATTCTAGAACAGGGGTGTCCAACTCCGGGCCTCAAGGGCTGGTGTCCTGCAGGTTTTAGATCTCACCGTGGGTCAACACACCTGAATCACATGATTAGTTCGTTGCCAGTCCTTTGGAGAACTTCAAGCCACGGTGAGGAGGTAATTTAGCCATTTAAATCAGCTGTGTTGGATCAAGGGCACATCTAAAACCTGCAGGACACCGGCCCTCGAGGCCTGGAGTTCGACACCTGTTTTCTAGAATGTGCCGTGCTCTAGTAAGTTTAGAATCAGTCTCAGAGTTCTAGAATTTTTCACATTAGCATCGGTGTTGTAGAATGGCCATGAATGCTTAAAAATCAACTTCTGCATTCTGGAATGTTGCACACCGTTGTTCTAGAATGGCCACCACTATCTACACACTAGTGTTCTACGACAATCTCAGCATTGTTTAAAACATGAATTCCAGATTGTTTCAAATCAGCCTGAGGGTTCTAAAATTATCTGCAATGTTTCTTTAAACCTCAGTGTTTTATGTCCTCCAAAAACACACAGCAGTGTGGAATGCTGCTTAAAAATCTTTTAATATTGACCAGTGGGAAAATGCTGCATATACAGTACTTTTCAAATATTTTTAGATAAGAGGCTATTCATCTAAAAACATTTCTAACTCCTCAAAAATGTAAGATTTGTTTATGTTGGTCAAATTTCCACTAGGAAGGGATTTTTCTTAACCGATGAAAGAAACTGCAAGAATCCAGTTTAGTTGTGGATTTATTGGTGTTTACTGCATTCTTTCGTTTTAGAAAAGTACCAAACTGTCGACTGGTCACTCCTAAAATAATGTCTCCCTCTGGTATTCATTTTGTTTTTTTAAGTCTAATCATAGCCTCCTTCACTTACATCAACATCTCTAAGGACCTCATACTGATAGCAAAAATAAATGGTTCCCAAATACAACAGAGGAAATTAACAAAATCTACTCCAGTCACCGGAATTACTTTTTTTAAAGTCAACTGCCTTTCCCAGTTATATATTGCTTTTGTTGAACCACTTGAATTTAAACTGATAGTCTCCACCTCAATCATATCTTAATAGCTTGATTTAAAATCCACTGTGTTAGCCTAAAATGGAAAAATTATAAATCAGTGTTCACACCCTGCAAGCCTAAATGTAACTGGTAGAGCTCGTCTCACAGGGAAGACGATCACACTTATCTACTAGAAACCCAAAGTCACCTGTTTCAACCTGGAAAAGATGCTAAACTTCATATAAATCTAACAAGCTATTCGGGAGCCCAGTGTTAGCCTCTCAGGTGCCAATACACTGACTGGCTTTGTCAGCAACTGCTAGATAAAGCTGTAATCTCATCACCATTGATTTTAAGTTTCTTTCTTGAGAAGTCATTTAACAAAATATTTAAAAATGGCCTCAGTGCTCTAAAATAACACGCAATATTAAAATGAGCCTCAGTGACATGTTTTAAAATGATCACAGATCACCAAAACCAGGAAACAAAACTACTTTTATTACCATGATTTTTTTTTCTTCACATAAGTGACATCAGCATGGCACGGGAAAAAAGCATTTTTATCCTTGTGTTAAAGGTTAATGGCAAATAATTTATGTGCAAAATGCGAGAAGTACATTCACAACACTGCTTGGTAGAGTTTTAAGCATCACTAAACAAAAACTGAGCCTATGTGACGCTGCAAAATGAAAAAGGATCACTTGAAATTAGAAAAAATTTTTTTCATGTTTTTCAAAATAACCATGGCCTGTAAATAATGCACATGTAAAGGACAAAACTGAAGCAGTGGCTCAAAGATTTGTTGTGTTATACATTTCCATCTTTTAAAGTGTTTATGTACATACAGCAGAAAGCTGACGAATCCTTTGGGATCACCAACACTTTAACTGATTACTAATTATCTGATCAAACTCGGAAATTATCAGTTTTACTTTTCATGTCTTTATTGAACACATTGAGTAATCCCACAGTGTTTATTCTAAAACGGTAAGTAAACTATTGAATTTATTTAGTTGTACAAACATTAACAGCATTGAGGTCAATAATATTTCCTGTCTTACTGCATCTTCCCAAACTCTTCTAAGCATCAGATTTAGAACTGCCGCTATAAACGTATTACTCTCTCAATGCCTGGAAAGCATCCAGTTGGTGGATGGTAAGACTGACTTTTGTCTCAACTGTGCTCAGAAAATTATTACAGAACTGTTTTGGAACATCCATCTGGTCTTTTGCAAACTTATTTACTTAGCAAAATCCTTCCATTAACACTATTTGTTATTCAAAAGTTTTCTGTATATCTTTTAATTATTTTAGTAAGTGTAGATATATTGTTTGCAGATATATTGTGGTCTCTGTGGCCTTTGGAAAAAAAAGAGTAGTGCCTGTCCTATATTTCCACTTTATATAAATTTCAGAAAAGGCTTTGTAAGTAATCAGACTGTGTACACATTTGTTTATAGGGATAAGTGCCTCTACATCCCACAAGTCAAATCTCATTGCCTTAATTGGAACACCTGACTCCAAGCAGCTTTTCTGAGAACTCATTAGCACAAAGGTTCGCTTATTCTTTCCATCCAGCACTGAGTGATTGCTCAATGTTTCATAAATAAAAGCATGAAAAGTATAACTGCTTGTGTTTTTCGTTTATTCAGATTGTGTAAAGATCGGATGACATTTCATGGCAATTTAAGCAAAATCCTTCTTCAAACTTTACAGTAAGTGCTTTAAATCACCATTTTCCACATAAACGTTTAATTTCAGGTAAAGCTCTCGCTGGCCTCCTCTTTAAAAACGTGACTGCCAGGGTCCAAGTTTTGCGTCTGGGTTCTTAGCTCAGCAACTATCCCAGAAACACTACCCAAAAGCCCACCCATCCCATCCTCTATCTCCTTATGAAAATCCACTTCCTCAACTTTCACCTGTCCTCCAGTGGGGAGAAAGGCTTCCCCTTCATCAAATCCATAACTGTAGCCATCATCCATATCTGCTGCTGCGCTTGCACTGTTGCTGTTCGCCGAGGAGCTGGAAGCAAGTCTCTCACATCGGGCCTGATGTCTCAGGAAGCTGTCTCTCCAAATGACTTTCTTCCCACAGAGGCTGCATTCATAGGGCCGCAGCCCTCCGTGGGTTTTAAGGTGCTTAGTGAGATGGTGCTTCATTTTGAAGGACTTTGTGCAAACAGGACACCCAAAGGGCCGTAAATTGAGGTGCTGCATCTTCACATGCCGGTCACGCATACTCTTCAGGGTGTAGGCTTTCCCACAGTGGCAGAAGTGTACTTTGCCCGTGTAGGGCGCAGCAGCGAGGGACACTGAGGATGATGAAGATGGGGTTGGAGGTGAAGGGGGCGGTGGAAATGCAGCAGAAGATGAGGAGAGATGGCGACTGGAGGTAGGGGTCAAAGAGCCACCCTGCCAATTCACCTCCGCGCCCGCCACTGTAAAGTCAGGAGATACGGGGACCAAAGGCCGCTGGGAAACCTGTCCTGTGCCATCTTCAATCTCATCGTAAGTGCCTCTCCTATAGGTCGCTTCTGTGAAACATTCAAAATCCACATCCTCCTCCTCCTCTTCATCATCCTCATCTTTACTGCAGCTGCCACCCTCTCCTTCCTGAGGCCTCTGCTCTTGCTGAGACCAGGCACCTGTTTGCCACTGAAGCCTGGCTGAGGACGGGCAGGAAGGGTCTGGAACTGCGTCACCTGTTTGGCAACCATGAAGACTGGGCAGGTCTGTGGCTGGATCGCTTCCTACCAAATCTCTTTGCTTCATCACGTCTGCACTCTGCTTCCCTGCAGCATGTCCAGCTTCGTCATTTTCATTCGAAACTGAGTGAAAGTCTGCTGAAGACAAGAAGGAACAAAAGCACATTTTATTAAATTCACTGGGAAAATGCACAAAGAGAAAGAATATATGACCCAGCTATCTGGTCAGATTCAACATTATTTATATTTATATCCACTGCTGACATAAATCAGAATTTTACTAAATTGAAACCAATAAATAAGATGTTTAAATTCTTGTATTTATTTTATAATATATAAATATATTAACTTTCAGTAACATTTACAGTAAATGTCAGGGCACTGCTGTTGAATGTCAGTCCAAATCATCCCCACAAAAGCTGCAAATTTCTTTATATTTGGAAAAAACTGCTGTTCAAGAAAAGTAAAAATCCTAATAACAAATAGTGTCTAAAAAGGATTCTTTAATGCTGTTCATATTTGTCCATCTTACCACAGTGTCCCATTTGTGCAAAGCCTTCCTTCTTCCCCGTCTCTTCTCCTACTCCTTCATCCGCCTCAATCTCTCTTCTCTCACTCCTCCTCTTATCCTGCGTCTCATCACCATCCCCACTCTCTCTATTCTTATCAAGTGGTCGATCAGAGGTCTGTGGTGCCCCCCGCTGTTGAAATCTGACTTTCTGCTTTAAAGCCTCAGCACCCGAAAACCCCCCATGGTGCCGGGCATTGTGTCCAGGTCCGTCATGAGTAAAGTGACTCGTCTTAGCATTGCACGATACCCATGTCTCCTCGCAACTGGTGTAATCAGTCTCCACATAGCCAGGAAGGCTGTCCAGCTGTGAATCAGCCAAGTGCTGGGCTGATGAGGGTCGAGGGCGTCCCCATCTTGAGAACTGCTGTGGGCGTCTCCATGTAGCCAAAGGAGGCAGTGAATCTGGCTTCTTCTCCCTCCTCCTTCCCTCCCTTTCTGCATACAGGCACTCCGTGCTGCTCGGGGACTGCTGGCGAGATGCAGAGCCGGGGTGAGCTGCGGCGGCAGCCTCCCCAGAGGCGACCTCTGCTGAGGACCGAGGCCTCTTCAGGATCTCGGTGCATTTGTCCACGATGTGCCACATCTGGAGGAAACTGGCCACGGTGACATAGTTGACAATATCGTCATGCACGATGCTCAGCTGGCCAGTGTACGCAGAACTCAGGACGCTCTCAAAGGCAACTGGGTCCATGACTGAGGGCAGGGAGACAGTTGTAACATTTTTCAGTAACACCTGTGAAGAGACAGAAACAAAGACACACTTTGACATCTGGACTGAAATATAAACATAAACAGGTTTTCTGCCAGTGTTTTACAAACCCTGTGCCTTTACAAAAACAAACTGTTGCTCAGTTTGTTAGCCATTTTAAACATAGAAAAACAGCTAAAGAAACTATAAGGGAGGCTTAAGACACCTGCTTTTTATACAAAAGCTAGGTTTCCGCTAACTGGAGTCACTGATGTGGACATTTCCACCATGTTTGTGCTGTTTGATGAAATTATCTGAGCTACTGTGAGGTACAGACTACCCAAGGATTTTCTGCTTCAGTTTTGGTGAGTGAAATTCAAATATTTTATCATAACCATCAGCTTATGTTACTACGTATTAATTAGCAGGTATCTTTTTCAGTGGATTGCACTCCAACAGTTAATAATACAGCTTTTAAACATGTTTGCCAGCTGTGGCCAAAATGTAAATATTAAAGCTCAAAATGTGGAGTAGAAAACAAGTGGGTGATATGCTCATAAAGGCTGTGAAGTGGTGTCTCTCCCTTCGTCTCTTGTCACCCACTCTACATGCAGAGATGATTTTAGGTATTCTAATAGTGCTATATTACTGGAGTGCAACATCAGACAGTAAACCCCAACAAGTTCAACCCTGCATGAATATGCTCTGCCCTACCTGATCATGAAAGTAAGGTGAGGATGCAGCGAGGACACAGCGGTGAGCCCTGAACACTTGACCTTGCACCTGGATGGAGAGATCGCACAGCCTGCCTTCCTCCCGCTGCCGGTTCAGATTGTCCAAAACAGCTGCTCTGGCGCCTGGGAAGCACACCTGGACCGTCAAACCGGCCGGAGCCACAGACCCACTGCAGGTCGGATCCATGGTCAGAGAAACCTAGAGGAAAGGCACAAAAGTTGTCAGTTGTTTTCTCATATTTTACTACACATGTAGTTATTATTTTTCTAATCCACACTTATACATATAATGCATTATAGACTAATATATGTTTTGTTATGCCATTCAAATATGCAATAACACTGTCTGTTTTCCACAAAAGAAGGCTGCTAACATTCACCGCAGAAAAGATCAGCTGGTACATTAATCTATTATCCTCTGATTGAGCTTTAATTGCTTACGAGTAATTTCATGAAGACCAATTTCACCTCATCATTTTACCTCAAATGTCAGGTAAAATGATGCTAATATCAGTGTTATGGAAAACATGCTGTTTGGTTCCTGTACCGAAGAACTCAACACTATCAGGGCTTAACAACTATTGACTAGCTCCCTCACACCAGAGACTTGCCTGGGCCCACCGATGAAGTAGTCTAGGAGGAATTGTCTACCTCTGAATGTGACTAAGACCACAGTTACGGTGACTAACTTCAGAAGGAAGAGGGCAGCTACATATCCAAGACCTATCCTGGGACAGAGTGTTGAAGTAGAGGGCTACTCCAGGCATCCAAATCAGGAAAACCAACACAGATTGTCTACAAGAAGGGTAATAGGAGACTCTATTTCCTAAAGAAACTGAGATCCTTCAAAGCATCCAGCAAAATGCTGCAGATCACCCAATTTTAGCCAGCACAGTGCACTTTGCTGAAGTCTGCTGGGGAGCTGGTGACTCCAACATACTGAATAAACTGATCAGACAGGCTGGCTCTGTGACTGGCTGCACACACGACACTTATGGAAGAGCTGTGGTCGAGACGAGGCCACTGAACAGTCTGCTATCCATCATAGATAATCTTGACCACCCTCTGCAACACTTATTAAACAGACAGCAGAGCCGCTTTTCAGATACACTGCCACAAGGAGAGATACACAAAATCTTCCCTTCCACATGCCATCACACTCTATAATTCAATACATCCGCCTACCAGAAAGCCATCTGCCAGATAATCCGGGTGTTATCTTTAATGTTCAATTTAAGTGCTGTAACGATAGCATTTCCCGAATATGGGATAAATAGGGCTGATTTATTAATAACCAGCTGTGTTCATCCCGAATAATTTACCACCTGGTGATTACTGCTCACGTCGATGCTCTACTATTTCACCATCTACTTTTAAAGACGGCACTCACACGATGAAGGGCTGAAGACATTCGCTCCTTAGTTTTTGGTTCATTGTTTATATTCCCTGCGTTAAGCTAGCTTTTAGCTACATTAGCCAGTCAACAGTTAGCCCAGTAAACGTTAGTTTAATGACTTTACCTTCGATGAGCCGAGATTTTGTTGTTTTACATGGAGCCTCGCTGACTATTTGCAGCAAAACGTCACTGGTAAACTCCACATGCTAACCGCCATCTCAAAAAAATCACGCTAATAAAACGAGGCTAACGGCAGCCTGCCCGCAGGCGCAGCTGCTGCTTATAGCCAGTTGACTAAGCAGCATCCTCACAAGGCGTGAGTGGGTGTTTAGTGTAAACGTCGGTTTGAACTGTCACGAAACGCCATCACACGTTAACCTGTTGATTCACCTGTCGCTGAATAAACAATAGCTGCATGGACAATTATTAAACGTTACTGACAGACCCACTGTTACATGTATTGACAGAGCCCAATCCCCGAGAAACTGGCTGCAATTCAGCTGGAGGCCCAGCAGGGGGCGCTCCGGAGATATTCAATTAGCTGACAGTGCAACACGGATAAAACAACCGCTTCTAGACAAAACGGTCAATGTGTAATTTAATTTTCGCATATCTCATCGATAATGGGCCTGTACTGAAATAAAACTATGTTCCTGTCCTTTAGTTAGTCCTCACAGAGAAGCTTATGCTGCCCAAAAGCTAGCATTTTGCTAAGACACACGTTTTTACAAGCGTTAAATAAACAGTGGAAGAAAAGTTAAACCGCAACAGAAAACAACATGTGTGATGGTTGTGGTGGTTGAACGGGACGCTGTCAGGAGGTTAGTTGCTAGAAATTCTCAGCTACTGGTGGATTCATGCCCAAAAGTAAAATGGCGGATACAGTAAAGCGGCTCATAGTGCTGTGAAAATAAATAAAACCGCCAACGTGTATCTCCAAACAAAATATCATAAAAATTTCAAATTTTCCTCAATGAAGTTTACACTTTTAAAAATGCAAAAGATTTTTAAAAAATGAAATACCCCCACCCACCCCCTGCACCTAAATAAAGTTCTTCCATACATCAAAATTATTATATATTTTTTAAGTTTCCACAAACATTTAATGGTAAAAATCAATGTGTAATAAACACTGGGAAATACATTAAAATAATTACACGAAAAATTCCTTCACTGTAGCCTACTGTAATTTTAACTGGATTTTTTGAGTCACCTCCCATTAGCGCCCCCTATAAAACAAGAAGTCCAGAAAGTGGAAGCTCTCTGATGCCCTGTATGAATCAACAAGGAGTTAAATTAAAGGGCCATCTCGCCCTGTTCTCGTTTTCTTATTTATCATTTTCCATTTAATTTGCTTCCAACGCACACCGGGATCCCTGCAGCAGGTTTGAGGCAGGGTTAAATGAGCATCAGTTTAAAAAACCTTACAGAAGAGGCTCAAAGAGCTGTCACATGCAGCACCTGCCCTGTCTCACACACGCTTGGCTGTTTTTACCGCAGTGCATCTGCAGCATCAGCCTCTCAACAGAGGTGCCGCTGTGGCGCAGGAGAAAACACCGTTAATTGAGCACTGGACGGATTTATTTGAGGGTTGTGTGTGTGTTTTTTAAATTGCGTGTCTGGCTTATATGCCTGCGTGTGCGCTCACGCAGTTTGACCTGCAATGCCAACGCGAACGAAACATCTCTTCTCCGAACACGGGGTCATTAGATAGCTGAAATTATACAAAAAAATATATAGCTGCCATCGCAGGAGAGGACAGTATTTTTCTATATTTTTTCCAGGAGAGACGACTCTGCTCGAGGAGAGGAGGCCTGATCAGGACAGTGGCTCTGATTTCATTGATCCGATTAAGGATAATTACCATTAGACCATTAGACTGGTCTCTATTAAATACTGGTAGCGTGTACCCTGTAAAAGGTAGCCATTTGTTTCCTGCCGTAGAGCATGCAAATTGATTATAAATGCACTGGCATGTAAATGTATTGTTGACGTTTATTCAGTAGCTGGCATGTTGCACTCTTGAACACATTCATTTTAACCTTGTAAGCGTCTATACTCTCTGTAATTTTCCAACATTTAGAGCGGAGCATGCCGCAGGGAGGTCTACTGATTGCTCTCTGCATCTCAAATTAAAAGGACCTCAGGAAAAAAAAATCATAACCTCAGGGTGCGGATCTGGGGAGCACTGTGAGTTAACAGATATCTGGATCGTTTCATAAGCTATTTGATTATTGATAGCAGAAAAGGTCACCGCGTGGATGCGGGAGGCCAGTGGGTGTGTAAATTGGGGGAACTGTCTCAAAAGGAGCAATAATTTGTGGCAATAAATTCTGCAACCAGAATTCTGGAAACTGTTGCCGGCTTGAGCCAAAGACCTGAGTGGTTCCACGGGACATTACATTTACGCGTATACGGTTTGCACTTTACAATGCATGTTTAGCTGCTAGTTGTCACCAACACATGACATCAGCCTGCACTTAAAAAAACAATACAGATAAGCTTCCTGAAATCTACAAGAAAACATTTGCAAATATCCTTCCTGCTATTGCAAACTCGGAGGTGCTCAGTGCTTGAGTGTATCTAGGCTCCGTGAAAGCTTCAAGAACCATTTTAGGGTTGTACTTTTTGAGGCCCCTCCTTCGATAAAACATCTGGAGTTATGGCACTACTACGTTTTCTGCTATTTTCCTTCTTCTGCACGCTGTTTGGTGAGTGGGCGTGATTCCTGGCAGTGTTTTGCTATGACACCTTGTTAACCCAGGCTGATGACTTCTCTTCTTTTCTTGTAAACAGTGTACCAGTGTCACGGGGCCTGTGCAGAGGTGGACTCGGACACTGAAGCTGTAGCAGGCAAGGGTTTTAAACTGGGCTGCATCTCCTGCAAAAGAAGGAGTGAGGTGAGAGGTGAAGCCAGCGTCGAATGGTACTTCAGGCCAAAAGGGGAGGCTGACTTTTTTCTGGTGAGTGTTTCCATGAAGTGGGATTTATGGCCCTGCAGATCTGGGTTTCCCCCATCTTTTTTTTTTTTAAAATAAACATTTATTAGAAGAAGGAACAAAGTATAGAAGTAACTTGCTGCTTTATTTATATAAAATAAACACTGTTCAATATATTTTCAGGGGGGACGACAGTAGGAATATGATTGTGGAACTGCATTCGTTTCAGTTTAGAAACTTACATTTGTGAATATGAAATTTGGCAAAGAATTAAAAGCAAATCAGATTAATCAGAAATTCACAAGAGTTTGCGTTATTGTCTTGATGGAGTCCAAATAAAATATCTTTCCAAACCAATCGGGAATCACTTACATAAACGTAAACATGCTGTTTCAGTAGGCAGGAGTAGAGGTAAAGCTAAAATAACTGAAAGACAAACTCATGTAAGATTACATAATGTCAGGTTTGAGTCTTTTTAAGGACACTTTCGGTAGGATAAAACCAGTGGAGCACTTTAAAGGATGCTTCTTTCACCTTGTTAAAGTAGAAGAAAATAACTGCAAAAGCCAGAGCTTCTTCCAGTTACTATCACACAAAACGATCTCAGTACATTTGAAGGAGAAGCAATATCCTTCAGGAAAAGAGCTCTCATTTCCTAATTGCAGTTTTGATGATGGAGATTAAAACAAATTTTAGTCTTCCAAGATCCTCACTGTGCATCGCTGAACTGGATGAGATACACGTCAACAAGTGGGCCGGTGTTGCACCAAACAGATTTCTGATGTTTCTGATGTATGTATGTGTAATATCTCCTCGTGTTGGTAAATTAACTGGATTCATGAAGAGGTTATCTATAAAATAATACCTAAATTCTAATCAACCCAATCCTTTTTGGCCAATTTAATAATATCTTTACAGAACTATGGTGCTATTTATGCTTGTTGCAATTTCTGCAAAGTCTCTTGAAAAATACATTTATGTCAATGACACTTTTTCTACCTGGATAAATGAAAGATACAGAAAAGTAATTTTGCCAAAAACTGGTTTGAGCGTCAACCTTCTGATAAAAATGTTTTGTCCGGCCAAAAATGACTCGATGATACGTTTGACAGATTTTAGGTAAACAAGTCATTTACAACTGTTTAAATACAGGCAATAATTTTTTGGTAAATCTTGAAAATCACTTTATGGCAAAACAGTGGGACAGAGAAGGGAGTGAGAGCAGGGTTCACCAGGAGAACAGCATGAAAAACAACTGAAAGTTCTGCAATGGACACGTTTCATTGTTTCACTTCAGCTCTTTGAGTTTTGTAACTTTCTCTGCGGCTGACAGACCAACAACAGTACAAGCAAGAGTGGCCCACAGACAGAGCTCTCTGCAGGCCAACAGGCCATCCCCAGATTGTCAGAGGACAGCGAAGCCGCTACCTCTGCTGGACCTTAAATTCTGCTTTGTACACAACAAGCAGCACTGCTGACTATATGGGAGGTTTGGAGCAGGAAGTCTTAGTCATGCAAGCATCCATAAAATCAAACTTGTGGGCTACTTCTCTCAGGACTTGAGCTATTTATATATGCACTTATATATAGTGCACACCAAAGCTCTCCTCCTTCCTGTCGCTCTCACTTACTCACACATAGACACCTACAGTACGGTCCTCAGTCACATAATAGCACCCAGTGATGAGACCGTCATGAGCTTCAGATGGGAATCAATTGGAACATTTTACCCCACTGAGGTCATCAAAGTGTCAGAGAGAGCTCTGCTGACCTTGTGCTGGATTCTCTGTTTGATGCCGCAGTGCATGCTGTGTTAATGTAGCCGTGGATGTATTTCAGTATAGTAGTGTCTGAACGGTCGTTTTAAAAATTTTAAAAAATATGCCTGAACAGTTTCAGGGGAAAGTATGTTTCATATGGGGTGACTGGGGGTGTAGACAAATTTAAATCGGAGGCAACACATCCATCTACAATATGGTAACGAGGTATTTTCCTCTCACATGATATCCATTTGGAGCTGTCAAGTGTGTTTACTTAACCAATTAACTGAAAATACATCTAAATAATGGAGTATGTTTTTTACTCATGAACCTGGACATATTTTTTTCATTGTTGCTTCCAATTTGAAATCAAACAATCAAGGTACAGCTGAAGTGTACACTTTCTGCTTTAATTCAAGGGTTTAACAAACATTTAGCAATAAATGTTTACGAGTTACTGACAGTTTTTACACTAAATCCTTGATTTTCAAGAGATATGAAACACATTTCCAAAATAATAATAATAATAATACACAACCTACAACATCGTAGCCTAAATAACATAATAGCTCATTGGTGGATGTTCATATTAGACAACGCCAAAGTTTCAGTGTTTTTAAAAGTAACACCTGTGAGCCAAATGCTCTGTTTCTGACAGTTTCTTCTACCCTTGGCTCTGTGTGATGTCATAGAGTGCGTATATCCTAATAGTCATCTCAGTCACCTGGTATTAGCTGTGAGAACAGAAGCTCCACCCATAGCTGTTCCGATCTTCTGTTTATTGGGGGCAGCCAATCAGAATTAAGTTCTCTTTAAGGGAGGAAACAAACTGAGCGGCTACACCAAGGCCAAGAATAACATAAATAATGAAAAATTAATTTTAACCGTCACTCATGCAAAGGTGTTGCATATAACTGGTAATGAACACAACCTTAAATGATCTCTGTGTTGTCCAGATGTACACCTACAATGAGGATGGCCCCACCATTGAGAGTGACCAGTTTGTGGATCGTGTCGACTGGAACGGAAGCAAAAGGAGCAGAGACATTCAAGATGCGTCCATATACCTGTTAAATGTCACCTTCAATGACTCGGGCACTTACCGGTGC